ATGAGAGGGGGTGGGGGTGGGACCTGCTGCTGGCCATCCAGACTGGGGAAGGGATTGGGGGACCTACATCTACCTGCACAGTGGTGGGGGCCCGCCACAGGTGTAACAGAGAACAAAGTTGAGCTCCCAAGTGTGTGGCATGACTGTGTGTCCGGAGTGCAAGCAAGGCACAGCAGCAGCAATTTACAGGTATCTGGTCCTGGTGCCACTGTCACTTCTCCCAGCCCCGCACTTCCCAGCTGTAGTGGACCTGCATCTTCCAACTACTGGGGGGCTGCACTGGGACCAAACATTTGCGCCCTGCTTGTACCAGTGGGGCATGCCTGTGCTAGATTCTGCTGTGCTGTGCTCTGCATGCACACTACCCTTCAGGTTAAAGGAAAAAAGAAAAGAAAAAATACATTTTTTCACGGCATACTTGCAACAGCTCTTATGGCATGCTAGTGTTTGGGAATCACTGGTCTATATTAAACACAGCTGAGGTTTTGGTATGACAGGGACTTTGAAGCCATTTCATTTGATACACTTCTTTACAAAAGGGAAACTTTCTAGGACACTAGTTATGGGAAGACATGTTTTATGACAGTAAAGACCAAAGAGCCCACAAACATAAATGGGAGTCTTTCCTTTGACTTGGCAGACCCTGAAACAGGTCCTGTGGAATCACAACTCTCCCCTGATCATGTCAGACAGCTCCCTGAGTGGATTCCTATCTTCCTAGCTCCCTCCCAGGAGGAACGAAAAGACAGGCCTGACATCCAACTGCAAAGACAATAAGATATCAGCTTGTCCTGGTCTCCCTCATTGCAGGTTACTGAGGTGTTTTCCCCACTTTGGCTGCAGCTATGGCAGTGAGTGCAGGGAAGAGACTGCAATACTTTGGTCCTTGCCTATCATGAAATTTGAAGATAAAGAATCAGGCTCTTGAAATGGCTCAGGAAGTCTGTAGTGAGTCAGTCTAGACTCTAGAACATAAAGTACTGGATGACATTTTCAGTTGACGGGCTGTTTAGAAAGAAAACTCTGGGGAAGACATTCTTAGTCAAGTGTTTCTTGCAGCTTTGCCCAGTGAAAGCAAACTAAATTGTCATCTTTTTCTAAGAATTAAGATCCTGGAGATGTTTTCTGCACAAAGCCTTCAGTCTGTCTTATCACGGCTGATTGAGCCTCCAAGAATGGAATCTCTGCGTGCATCAAAACTGCGACTGCAGGACCTAGGAGCCTTAACTTCAGATGAAAAGCTCACCCCTTTGGGATATCACTTGGCTTCCCTGCCTGTTGATGTAAGGATTGGAAAGCTAATGCTATTTGGTGCCATTTTCCGTTGTCTGGATCCAGCATTAACCATAGCAGCAAGTCTGGCCTTTAAGTCACCTTTTGTAAGTATTCCATGATGAGACATTTCTGTGTGCCAGGACTTGAATGTGATGTTACATTCATAAGTGAACTTTGCTATGTAAAACTACATATTACTTTTACATGTTCTAACAACCTCGCTTATTATGTATAGTGTATTCTTAGATTAGCATGGAATGCTTTTCTCTCGTGACAGAAAAAAGACCTGATGTAAGCAAATGCACAGAATCACTCCTTTAGTATCAAGAACAGCTCAGTCCCAAATAAAATAACCTATTTTAGTGGATGATGGGATTAGTTATGAGCCAAAGTAATTAACTGTTTCCAAATGACAGTGTTATTGGACATATATTCCTGAACTTACCTCTGCAAATCCCTTCCTGTAGAAGCCTGAGTCTTACCAGTTTTCTAGAGCAGCATAACTGTTAAGTGCCATACGCTGACTGCAGAACTCCTTTGTTTAAATTTAATTCTTCACTGCCCAATCCCATAACCATCCTCCCTTTGTGGAACAGAGCCGCAAGTTTGTGCATGCATTGCCCTTGTTGCCAGGCACTGGGACATTCCCTTTAAAAACATTAAGGGTGTCAGACACTTGTTCCCAGTTAGAAGTGGAAGAGTTATGAATTTGGGGTTCTCTGTAGTAGAAAATATGCAGACCCAGTTCTGTGGAAGAGAAAGGAAACCTGCTTATCAGTAGGGCAGTGTGAAGCTTCAGTAGCTGATTCGACTCAGAGGAGATTAGGCCCGATTCGGGGTCTGAATCTCCGAATCCAAATTGAATCGGGAGACCAAGTAAAAGCTCCAAATTGATTTGAAGCATCTGAATCAATTCAGAAAAGATTCAGCCAATTTGGAGATTCATCCATAGACTAAATAGGCTGGGCAGCTGCAGGCAAACAGGCTGGGCAGCTGCTTCCAGCTGGTAAGTTGGTTGGGGTTGGGGGAGGGGGGAGGGAAGGGACGTGGGAGAGAGAGGGATTGGGGATGGGACAAGCTGCCCAGCCGGGGGGGTGCGTTACTCAGGGAGGGTACGGGGGGCATGGGATACGGGCGTGGCAGTGCTGGGAGTAGGGGCTCTGCCCTGCTGCCGCTTGCCCAGCCTGGGCAGGGGAGTGGGATGTGGGCACGGCTTGCTCCAGGCGGAAGGGGGCAAGTGGCAGCAAGGTAAAGCCCCTGCTCCCAGTGCTGCCATGCCCACATCCCGTGTTTTCCACTCTGGCTGGTAAACAGCAGCAGGACAGAGCCCCCACTCCCAGCATTGATGCGGGTGTGGCAGTACTGGGAGCAAGGGCTATGCCCTGCTGCTACCTGGAGCAAGCCACACCTGCATTGCACTCCCCCCCCCACGCCAGCTGGGCAAGCGGCAGCAGGGCATAGCCCCCATGGGGCAGAGGCAGGCACAGCCGGAGGAGCTGCAGGAGAAGCCCCCATGGCTGCCCTGGCCAGCCCCAGACTCTTTTAAAAACCCTGCACTCACTGGCTCTGGCAGCAGCGATTGGGGTCTCTGGGCACTTGTGGCAGAGGAGCCCCCCTGCGCAGTTGGGGGCAGTGGGGATCACCCCACTCTCCTCCCCCGGCACCCATGCCGCAGCTGTCACATTGTGCAAGTGCAGCGTGGCTTGGCAGGGCCCCATGCACTGTCTGGGATCTGGGGCAGCTCCGCGTGTCAGCTGGAATCCAGCAGCACACGGCTCCAGTGGCCTCAGCTCCCAGGGAGTGTGTGGTGCCCTGCTGAACCATGCTGCACCCATGCCATGGGGCAGTTGCCACATGGGTACCAAGCAGGGAGGGCAATCCCTATTGCCCCGCACTGTGCAAGGGTGCTCTACCACAAGTGCCCAGAGGCCCCAATCACCTCTCCTGCAGCTCCTGAGTGCAAGGCTTTGTTTTTTCGGGGTTTTTTTTAAACTAAGTGCTGGAACTCGGCTAGGGCTGGGCAGGGCAGCCATGGGGGCTTCTCCCGTGGCTCCCTCTGCCCAGAGAGAGGCAGGCACAGCCAGAGGAGCCACAGGAGACCCTGCAGTTGCCTGGCTATGCCTGCCTCTCCCCAGCCAGTTCAAATCTCTGAATCGGCGCCGAATCTTCCGAAGCTGATTCAGCTGAATTGATTCAGGACAGTGATCCGAATCTTCAAATCGAATCACTGTCCTCCGAATCGCCCGAATCTGAACCAAATACTTTCCTATTTGCACAGGCCTACTTATCAGTATGTTGCCTCTACAAATGCACACTGATACAGTTTCTTTCAGTTTCTCAGTAGTTGTATTACTTAGAGCAGATGTAGGAGGTCTATTGTTGTATTACTTAGAGCTGCTGAAGGGAGACAGAGGACTCTGAAGGGAGTAAACTTTCTTACAAATTTGAATCCAGGGTCAGTGGATGCGTCTCTAATGGCTACTTTATTTTGGAATGATTCTGAAACCAGTTAATTCCAACTTAAAAGTTTTAGCATTGGGTCTGCAAAAGCAGCGTAGCCAGATATTTAAGTTACTGCTTATATACAGTTCTGATGTTCTTGGAGATGAGCAGTTGACACCTAACTGATCTCATATAGACAATGTATCCTTTGGTATTAAAAGCCTGTTTTCAGTTGGGAAGGAAAAAAAAAGAGATGAAACGTGTCCATGTATCTGTTTAGGTGTCTCCATGGGATAAACGGGAGGAAGCAAATAAAAAGAAACTGGAATTTGCCATAGGAAATAGTGATTATCTGGCTCTTCTTCAGGCTTATAAGGTAAGTTAAAATCAATGGCCTAAGCAAAAAATTTGGAAGAGCTGCAGTGTAGGATTGTACATTATATTGAAATTTATATTTTTCTGTTGTTTAGGGGTGGTGCCTGAGCACCAAAGAGAGTTCTCATGGAAGTTATAGCTACTGCAGGGAGAATTTTTTATCAGGAAGAGTTTTGCAGGCAAGTTGCATTTGACTTAACAGTTTTCTGGACTAATAAAAAATATACAGCAATCTCCACCTTCTGTTATTCCACCTGCTCTTCTTTACCTATTCTTCCCCTTCCTGTCTGGTTCACCCAGGGAAATGAAATGTAACTTTCTGAAATTTTGACCAGCTCCCTCAGCCTATAATCCTAGCATTAGCAGGTATTTAATTTAAGTCAACTCTAGGTTTAAACCAATGCTAGAATACTTCAGCCCAAAAAAACTGGTTTGAAAGATTCTGAATAACAATAAAGGTTGCAGGTATAAGTGGTGTGAGAAGGTTCCAACCTTAGCTGCTATGGTTGTAGTGCCTTGCTCTATAACAGGGATGGCTAAGCTTATATACCATAAGTGCTATGGGTAGCCTCTGTCTGTAGCATGTGGGAGACTGGGGAGGGGTAGGGAGCAGAAAGCAGAGGAGTAGGTTGGGCAGGGGAAGGGGATTGGACTGTTACTTGGGGAGGGTACAGGGCTTAATTTGTGGCACACTTGCCAAAAAGGATGGCCCCCACAGCACTATAATATTTAATTGGACAGCCTCTTGTGGTGGATGGAGGTCCTTTTTAACTGAGAAACTGCACATGCATCAGTTTTCTTACCGCAAGTGATGAAAATAGGTGGAGGTGATGGCCTCCACCACAGATGGCTTGTTGCAACTTGGTATTTCAGCCTGAGCAATTCAGTAAAAATAATAAAAAATAGAACCTTTTAAAAAAACTTTTTTTTTTGCTTGTAGGAAATAGCTAGCCTGAAAAGGCAATTCACAGAGCTACTCTCTGATATTGGATTTGTGAAGGAGGGCTTGAGAGCCCGGGACATGGAGAAGAGGTGGTTCCAAGGAGGAGATGGTGTTTTGGATTCTACAGGAGAAGAGGTAACTGGAGTGTTAGTGATCCTAAACTGATTCTGTGGCCTCTAAATGACCTTTGCATTGAGAGTAAATTTGGGTCTGGTGTGCGTGCCTCACTGCCTAATGTCAGTGGTGATCACCATTTTCTTCTTTATGTTGACCTACTCTCCTCCATTACACTTGGGAGACTAGCATTATGGCTTGACTTTGGGGGTGGAGATTGGGGGAACACTCAGTGGCCGCAGTCTCTTGTATCTTTTGTTCTCCAAGACTAAATCCTTGGTATGCATGTGTAATTACAGTGAAAAGCTGCATGGCCACATGGCATGGCTTGTGGTTTCCATGGTTTGGGGCTGCTACAGTAACTGCCAGTAACAAGTAGGACCCTTCCTGCCTTAGCCATATAGAGTTCCCAGTGGATTGCTAGTGCAGGTGTAGGTGGCTATTGCAAAGTCTATTCTGGAGAGGAACAGCTCTTTTCTCTCAGCCTGCTCTCTTTGGCCCTGAAGCAGTGGAAGGGTCGTACTGGAGTTGCATCAGCCCAAGGCTGTGAACACTTTTAGATGCAGCCACATCTAAAATCTCCAGATGTGTCTCCCTGATGATAAGCAATGCTTTGGCTTATCCAAGCTGCCACAGGCCCTTCATGTCCTCATTTTGGTCAGTTACTGGCTGTGTCTGCATTAGATAGATCTTACCTTGAGTTAACCTTTGTAGCCATGCTACAAAGTTTCATTCAAACTGCTGGGTCCAGACCTGCACCATACTCAAATGTACAAGGCATTTTGAATTGTAGAGGTGTATCCCATGGTGCTCTGTTCATTGACCTAATCAGATTTATGATTTACCCCAGGAAATAGTCACTCTGTTACCTGGAACAAGTTTTTGAGGAATGTCCAGATGAGCCTTTACACAGCTTAATTACCTCAAGTTAGTTGGCAATTGGTTAAGGGTAATAGTGTAGTGTAAACCTATGGGGAAAATGTAAGAACTACCAACTGCTAATATGGAATGAGTGTGAGCTTCAAAGAGGGTGTATTGGAGTGTCAGCCATTTAGCATTCTTCAATGAAACATTCAAGAAATTGTGTGCTTGTGTGTCAGTAGTGTAGAGTCTGTAAAGTGTGAAGCATATAAGGTATAGCTTGGGCACTGTTGTCCTGAATACATCAATTAATTTCACAGGCAAACTCTAATGCAGAGAATATCAAGCTGATATCAGCAATGTTATGTGCTGCTCTGTATCCTAATGTGGTCCAGGTGAGTGAGACATGTTCTTTTTGTTGTTGTTGTATTACATACACCACCTCCCGTTGCTCACATCCCCTTCCCCTTTGAGCAGCAGTTTCATGTTGCATGCTTTGATTTTAACATTGGTAGGGATCTATCAAAATCGCAATTTCACGATTTTCTCAGAACCTGTGATTTTTGGGCAGGCTCCATGAAAAACTGCAGGCTCTACACTTTTGGCTTGCTTGCTGCAAAAATAAATAAATTACCAGCAAGGAGAAAAGCATATGGGAAGCCTTGTAGTCTTGAAGTACAGAGTTGGGATGAGATGTAAGAATAGGCTGCTGCCACAGTCCCCAAGCAGGCTCCTACTGAGCTGGGAGGGGGGGGTCACGTGTGTCTGTCCCTGCCCCTGCCTCCCCAGCTCTGGGGCTGCAGGGTGCTAGCCAGCCAGACCCTCCCTTGCAAGCTCAAGCAAGAGCTGGTGAGCAGAGTAAGCCACTGGCTGCAGGGGGTAGGTACCACTGTAGCAGCTGGAGGTTTCTTTGCCTGGGAGCCAGGGTGGAGCCAGGGGGCAGTGACCACTGTGGGACAAAAGAAAGTAGGCACTGAGCTTGGCAGTACTGTGCACAGGGGCTGGGCAGCAGGCTGACAGCCCAGCACACAGCAACTTCCCCCACACATGCTGTGTGTTAGGCCTGCTGTGAGCATACACCCTCCTCTTCCCTGCCCCACCCCTTCCACCTTTCCCTCCTCCCTGTGCTCCAAGACTGCAGGACTTTTCTGCTTGCTGATAAGTTTGTTTTTGTTTTTTGTTTGTTTTTTTTTACAGCGCCCTGCTTGGGGATGGCCTGAAACTGCATCTTAATTACCTTGAGGAAGCCTGGGAATGCCACTAATCCATGCTTAATAATGCATGGATTAATGACTTCCCCAGACTTAATCAGGGTAATTAAGCCACGATTTCAGGCTATCTGGCAATATGTGGGGAGGGATGGGACTGCTGAGGCCCCTCAGCCAATCAGTTTGGGGGGTGGGGGGTATCACTGCTCTGAGCCTGCAAAATTGACAGCTAGCCCTGGACTCTCCCCATGAAATTGGCTGGCTGCCTCCTTAAGTTCAGTAGGCCCTTAGTGATAGGATCTGATGCTGGATCCCACAATCAGTCACACCTCCTGCCATGCATGTGTGGCATGGCAGGAGGCGTAGTTGTGTGTATCATACTTTGGATTCTGTCATGCCTCTACCTGAATGCCTACAGAGGCCCTATAATATTTTATGTTGTTGATTTAGTAACAGATGCAAGTAAAGATTTACATGCGACTGTCTCAAATTTGCTTCATTGCCATTTATTATATTTACATTTAGGTGAAAACTCCAGAGGGAAAATATCAAAAGACCAGTACAGGAGCAGTTAAAATGCAACCAAAAGCAGAGGAGTTAAAATTTGTAACCAAAAATGATGGATATGTTCATATTCATCCTTCCTCTGTGAATTATCAGGTAAGTTCTTTTTTTTTCCGGCTCAGTAAAAGATGTTGCCTTGGTTTTTTAAAAAGATCATTTATATTTAAAAGAAATAACATTGAGATTATAAACTAGGGCAGTGACCAGTTTTAAAAATATGTCAACTGCATGATTGAAAAATGCTGCTGGGGATGACTCTTTCCCCTAATTAGGGGTGGCAGAATATGAAGAGTACTTATGAACTCTTTAAGATTTTATTGCCTAGTACTCACTCAGTCGCAAAGTCACTAAGTCAGTGTGTGGACTTTGACATAAGTGAACAGATTTCACTGGGGAAACCAATAGGATGCTGGTCCCTTCTTTCATGTAACTGATCTTCTCCAAAGACTGAACTCAAACCCCTCCCTCTCTAAATTCCCTGTTTTAATAGTGTACGAACTACCTGTTAAAATCAATTTTACATCATTAAAGGTATATTGGCATTGTAAAGCTGTTGGACTATTTATAAATCTTTCCTGGCTCATCACTTCTACTCTAAAAGATCATATAAAGGAACTAACTTCACAGAAAAATCTCCTCTGTACCCAATGTAGGGGAGAGGAAACCCCAGGCAGCAGCATCAATTGTTTTTTTTTCCTCTGGACTGCATTGCTGAGGTGAAAAAAGAGGGGAGAAAGTGGCACAAAGGACTAGTGCAAGGAGGGTATGCTGCAAACTGGGGATGGGGCAGAAGTGGGGCAGGCACTGATGAGGTAGATGAGGGACAGGTGGCTGCATCATTACTAGGGCACTGGGGGGGGCAGGTGTGACAGGATTATATTGGATGTGGGGGTGCTATATGTTGAGTGGTGAGTTTTGGAAGTGCAAATGAATGCCATTTGGTCCTTGCACCAGAAGAAGCCAGCAGTAACTCCAGACAGGTCTCTGATGAGCATCTGCACTGAGGAATGTACTGTGTGTCCAGCCTTTTTTAATTGTCCTGGTTGCCAGAGCCCATCATACAAATGTAGTGTCTAGTACAGTATGTAGAAAATGAGCACCCCCAAACTAAAAGTGTAAGCCCAAGGGAGAGAGCAGCAAAACTAGTGCATTCTCCTGCCTCTACTGTGGTTTGAGGCCCACTTAACAACTGTCTAGGTCAAGGAGCTAGGGGTAGCACATGGACCCATATTGGCAAGTGAATGGGAATTGGTTTTATTTCTTAATGGAGTACATTTTTGTGCTCAGTATCATTAACAAAATTCATGTTTTTACACTTCTCTTTCTTCAACCGTCGGGCTCTGGTGGTCCAGACAAAACACTTTGACAGTCCATACCTGGTGTATCATGAGAAGATCAAGACCAGCCGCGTATTTGTCCGTGACTGCAGCATGGTGTCAGTGTACCCATTAGTTTTGTTCGGTGGAGGGCAGGTTCATGTACAGCTGCAAAGAGGAGAGTTTATCATTTCTCTTGATGATGGCTGGATTCGTTTTGCAGCAGCCTCGCATCAGGTAATGAAATGAGGAAGGACTTCAAACCTTCCTTGCATCTGTAATGGTCACAGTGCAGAAGATTCCTAATATTTTATTAAGCTGGTGTGTGTATGTGTACTTTCTCATTCAGGTGGCTGAATTGGTGAAAGAACTACGTTGTGAACTTGATCAGCTCCTTCAGGACAAAATCAAGAATCCCAGCATGGATTTATGTACATGCCCCCGGGGATCTCGCATCATTAGCATGATTGTAAAGCTTGTGACAACTCAGTAACCAGAAATTTGCCAGTATACTCACCACTGACAACTGCTTGAGAAATGGATGACAGCATTATTGGGGTTTCTTGGGTTGCCATAGTGCAGCACTGATCCTCCAGAGCTAACTTGATGAAATGAACCTACCTTGCAAAGTGTTTTTTCTTGATTACTTGCAGAGCTCTGCAAAACTTTTTCTGCCAAAAATAAAAAGGGCTCACTGTATAGACAAAGAAATGGGAAGATGATGATCATGCTGTAGTAATATATAAACCTCTAGTCTGAGTGAAAAAGCATAGCATATCTACACAAGAATTCTGTTGAACTGCTGGGAGCAAGGGATGTGCATTTTTTTGGCATAGCACTTTAACTGCTTTTTGTGAGGGAAATTGAGGAAGTACTTTCTGTGGCTTTCAAAATAATTCTGGTGTACAAAGAGAGCATCGCCCAACTGGTCATCCCAGAATTTTTCTGAACTTAGTATAGACTAACTCATGCCACTTGGCCAAGAATTCTTTCACTCCAGGGACCTTTGAATCAGGTTCTCAAATCTCTTACCAGTAAGGAGACAGAGAGATCAGACCTTGTACAATTTAAGTTGGACAGTTTCTGGTTCAAATATATATCTCTTTAAGTTTGTGGCTTGTTTCTCCTAACCAGCTGCTTGACTGGCAGTCTGAAAGATACCAGTGTTTGTGGGTTAAGCTGCTGAAATCCATTTAACTTCTGTTTTCTAGGAATGCTTATGTTCTTCTTCATGTTTTTATGTTGAAATTGATCTTTGTGTGGATGGAATCAACAGGAACGCTGAACTCTCATCCTAAGAAATTGTTTGGGAAATGCACACTAGATGAGTGGTAAAGAAGCAAAGTATTGAGATGTTTTAGAAATTTTAGGGTTATCCCTGCAAGGGAAGAGGGGAAAGCTTTTGAGCAGGGATCATGGAATATTCTGGACTGGAAATTAAATGTGATGCCTTCCATTCTACATTAATTTCTAGGACAGTAAAGTTGTTTCTAGCAGTGACTGTTCAGTGCCTTCTTGTGAAATACTTTTATGGGGATGGTCATCAATTTTCGGAGTTTTGACATTTGTATTGCAAATCTTATTTAGCCCCATCCATCAGTAAAGAATGTATTTCCTTGGTGAATGAATAATCTAGAAGTGGTCCTTTAACAGATGGTAAGAAATGGGAAACAGTGATTGAAACAGTAGGGGAAGGAACTTCCTGCTGGCTCCTGTATGTTTTCTGTGGTGAAATTGGGATGCAGGCTCAGTACAATAGCTATTTCAGTATTTGTTAAAAGTGTTTATTAAAAACAAAATTGCTTCAAAAAGCATCCAGTCAGGAAGGGAAGAAAATAAAATTGAGGAAAAAGTATGAAGACACTTCTCATCCTGGTGCCATAAGATACTTCTAGAGATGTCTGATTGCTAATGTCTAAGATTTTCATTGGTGTAATGTTAAGCAAAAAATTGGCTGAAAGAATTAAGTTCATCCGTGGTAATGTATTATATTTGCAACAAGGATGATAATTTAAAAAACAAAAAAGTATTTGACCTTCAGTCTTTTTAAACAAGCACTGTAGAACAGAAGCTGATATAGCAGTGTTAGCAAATATGGAGCTAGCTATTTTTGTGTGCTAGGCAGTGGGGTTGGGAGGGGGTGGGACATGCTGAGCACTGAAGTACAGGATTGGGGGTTGGCAGAGCCCTAGCTGCTAGGGCATGGGTTCACCCAGGGGTTATTAGTAGGGCTTTGCGAAGCTTCAGGTGCTGATTCGATTCGGAGGAGATTCGGCCCAATTTGGTGGCCAAATCTCTGAATCCAAATTGAATCGGGAGACCAATAAAAAGGTCTGAATCATTTCAAAGCTCTCCAAATTGATTCAGAGAGATTTGGAGATTCAGGCAGTCCCCACTTGCCACCATAGGGAGCTGGACCCAGAGTCCGTGCCAGTGAGTAGGGGAGGGGACTACGGGTGGACCCCTGCCAGGCCCCATCCCTTGCCTGCACCCCCCAACCCACACCCACTTTCCCAGCCCCGTTAATGGCTGTCCTGCCCAGCCCCAGCGTCCCAGCTCTTTAAAAAAAAAAAAAAAAAAAAAAAGCCAAAAAACCCCCCAAAACCCCACACTTACCAGCTGCTGCAGCAGCCATTGGGGCTTCTGGGGACTCATGGCAGAGCCCCCACACACAGCATGGGGTAGTAGGGGGCAGTGGGGATCAACCCTTCCCCTCCCCCCCAGCAGGAGCAGGTGAGTGTGGGGCTTTTTTTTTTTA